GGAAATAAAAAGCAGCAGCCTTGTGTAGCCTGGTAAATGTAATTTCAGGTGTCCTAGCCTCTCTCATCACTTCTGTTCCCTGTCTCCCAGGAAATTAATTCTGCAGAAGGAAAACCCCAAATGTCTGAATCACATTTCCCTGGAAGTGGTGGGAGCTGGGACCTGCTCGGGCTGCTGCTCAGCAAGCTCACCTGAATTGCACAGAGGGTCCTGCACAGGGAGCAGGGATTTCATAGAATTGTGGGATGGTTTGGGTTGGAAGGGACCTTAAAGCTCAGTTGATTCCAACCCCCTGCCATGGGCAGGGACACCCTCCACTAGCCCAGGTTGTTCCAAGCCCTGTCCAACCTCGTCTTGGACACTTCCAGGGATGGGGCAGCCACAGTTTCTCCGGGCAACCTGTGCCAGGGCCTCCCCACCCTCACAGGGAAGAATTTCTTCCCAATATCCCATCTATCCCTGCCCTCTGGCAGTGGGAAGCCATTCCCCCTTGTCCTGTCCCTCCAGGCCCTTGTCCAAAGTCTCTCTCTGGCTATCTTGGAGACTCTTTAGGCACTAGAAGGGGGGCTCTGAGATCTCCATGGAGCCTTCTCTTCTCCAGGCTGAACAATTCCAATTCTCTCAGCCTTCCCTCACAGGAGAGATGTTCCAGTCCTCTAATTATCTCCCTGGCCCTCCCCTGGACTTGCTCTTGTCGTGTCCCCCTTATCCCAGGGCAACGTGTTTTCCTGCTGTTCTGCAGGGTTTGAAGCCTCTCCCTGCTGCACTTGTTAAGGTAATTAGATAACTGCTGCCAACAAATACATCCATTTAATAAGTATGCTAATTGGTATTGACCAACACGTGGCAGGCACTTTGTCATGTGCCAATTAGGAGTGCCTAAGAGCTGCTCAAGATACAAGGGGCTCATCATTAGACCTCTGGGTGGGGAGCTGAGGAGATTCAGACTGCCAGCCCAGCTGTGCCGGCACCTTGTGCCCAGGCAGGACCTGGCAGGGATGGGATGAGCACAGGGATGTGCAGAGTCCTGATAACCAGTCCTGTGAGCACACAGGGCCTTGCCTGTGATGGATTTATGTGATCAGTATCAACCATGCACGGTGGTTTTATTTATGCCCCCAGGCGCCATAGGAGGTGGGATAAAACAGTTGGATTAAGGGACCTGTTTTTACCTGGGTACATGAGGCAGGGGCAGGGCAGATCAAACAGGACCATAGCTGTGGAGGAGAGTCCTTGGAGCTCAGCTGCACGTGGTGGCAGAGCTTGTGCTGTGCACAGAAAAGGGGATAAGTGGTCAGCCACAGCTGCTCTCCTTTCCCTAGGGTGCTCCATGCTGGCCCATCCTCCTGCAGCCCTATTTCACCCAGTGTATTCAAAAAAGTGAGTATTAGCCCCTTCCTGTTTATTCCTTCATCAGAAAAGTGCTACAAAAAGCTCTCCTTTCCCTATTTTTTCTTCTATTATGTTCCCAGGAAAACTTATCTAACCAGCTCTCTTCCCCAGGTATGAATTCCCAAGGGCACACGCTGCTGGATAACCAGGCAGAGGGGACAAAAAAACCCCTTTCCCACCCATGGCAGCAGGCACTGACTGGATGCTGTGTAACTCAGACCCATGGGGCAGTGCCAGCTAAAATTCCAGCCCAAACCAATTGCATGGCAGAGCAGTTCATCCGCCCCAAATTCCAGGTGTGCATCTCAGCTGTCGGCTTTCCACTCCGGGGAGTGGGTCCTGAGAGGCCCATGGGTGGTACCACTTCAGTGTTGGTGTGGCCCGTCCCTGCACAGCCAGAGCTGCTTCCTGGGGTGCTTGGCTGCTCTGCTGCCCCCACGCTTTTGGGTTGTTGGCTGTGGGATGTCCATCACCCCAACATGAGTCCCGCTCCCACACAAGGCTGTTTCCTGCGGCACTTGGATGCTCTCATTCGCCTGGATTGGTTTATTTATTGCCACCATTAATTAATTTTGGTTGGGTAGGAAGGACGTGTCCCCTGAGACTGTCTGTGTGCTGGAGACCATTACTGCATTGGTGTCTGGCAGTGTCAGCACACAGAAACCCCTCGCTGCTCTCAGCCTGGCACAATTAATCAACTGGCTCCACTCAGGAGCCACAGGGCTGTGTGTCCCTGTTTTGTAACGAGGCTGGCCCTGGATGGCTTTACTTAAAGCCCTATTTAGAGTAAAAAGTTACTGTTAGTACCCCAAAGCTACACCAGACACACCATCTTTTCCTACGAAGGAGCCCAGGCATTGCACGGAAAGGCCACCCAATCCTCCAGCTGGTACTCAGGGGTTCTGTTCCCATCTTCTGCTGTGTGAAGGCTCCCGGGGCTGTGAGCTGAGCTGAAAAGCCAAAGCAGAAGTTTGTGATGGTCCCTCTTGTCTTGGCCCAAATTCAGCCTCTGCATCCTTTCTCTAGGCTGTGCCACCGTCTTGGCACACATAGCTGGTCCTGGAGCACCACAGGAAGCATAAAGGAGCGGGAGCTGGTTGGTTTTATGTGCTATCAGGAGCACATTTCTCAGAAATACAGTGACCTAATCTCACTCTTATTGATTTTGAGCTATATATATACACACACACGGGGACAGGCAAGCACTGCTGAAAATACAAAATCCTGTACTCCTGGAAGGGCAAAAATTGTTTCCTCCAGGTTTGTTTTCAAGCCTGAGGAAACATAGGAGCAGGCAGAAAGCCTGACCCAGTTCCTGATGGGTCTATGAAACAGCTCACTGTTCCCAGCCCCAGCAGTCCTGCAGGAGCATGGTCCATGTTGTGTTTAAGGAGTGCTCCTTCCCAATCCCAAAGGTATCCAGCTGCCCAAAAGCATCACTCGGTGTTATTACTGCCTCCCTCCCTGGAATATGCAAAGTGGAAAGAGAAAAGCCCCAGAAAATTAGGCAGAGCAATTTATCTGACAGGTCAGTGCTCTCCCTGATAAAGGAAAAAACAGAGTTTGTCTCGTGGTCAGGGTGACACTTTGCCACAAAAGAGGAGCAGGAAGAAGTTAATTAAACTCTAAAGAAGCCATTTATTAGGAAAGGGAAGTAAGACATGGCTTTTCTTCAATACCGGAGAGAGGTTCATTATAGAGGAAAACCATCCTTTAGCAGTTAATAAACTATTTTCTCCCACCTGGCTTTGAGGGATGGCTAATGGAGTGCCCATGGCTCATTTTAATGTGCACTTTTCCAACGTGTCCATGGCCCATTGGCTAAAAGGGTTTAGAAAACAGCTGTTTCTGAAAACTAGGGAACCAGAAAGCTTGGCAGGTCTGTAAATGAAGGCAGAGCCTTTTGGTGCAGTGTTTTCCAATTGCCATTTCCATTTCCAGTGCTGCTGTGCTCTGTTCCTGCTGGGGCATGTTCTGTCTCTGGGAAAAAAGGACCTTTCTCTACAGGGAGAGCCAGGAGTCACGTGCAGAGCAGGAGCCCTTGTTGGGAACTGGCTGGAACACACCTGGAAGGCTCATGCTGGCAGGGACAGCCTTTTCCTGCTGAGGCCTGACACTTTAAAGAATTCATTGCCATTGGATTTATTTTTTAAAAATAAAAAAACCCAACCAAACCTGATTTTGGATGACAAGCACCCAGACATTGAACCAGTAGCTACAAAAGCCCCAGCACATCCTTGATGAGAAACCATTTAAGTTCTGAGTCTGGGTTTGCTCCCAGCTGCTCTGGGTTTACCCTGGCAACTCTCTCCCTTTGGGCTGGGAAACTAAAACCTCTTGTTTTCCCCAGGCTCTGAAATCACCCACTTTCACAGGGCTGCTGGTGAACACCACAGTTACAGCTCCAGGGGAGAATTTACAAGGAATGGAAAAGGCAAGTTATTTTAGAGAGGCTTTTTCTCATTTCAGCTTGTGTTAGCCATGCTAAAATTCAACAACCTTGTTATCTATAAAGCCAGCGTGTGTGACTTTGTCACCTGCACCCTGCTGCCCTGTGGGTGCTGCCTTGAGAAGATGCTTCTGCACTTCCTGACAATGTAATACCGACAGGCATTTCATTGTGCATCAGTCCAGCTGCATCCCCCTGAATTTGGGGAATCCAAGTAGGTCCAGGGAAAAAAAAAAAAAAAAAAGAAATAAGACCATTTTCTGGCAATGCTGAGTTAATACCAAAAGGATTAAAATACAGCCAACCTCCAAGAACGGGAAAAGGACCTTATGATATTTAGTGAGTGGATAATAAAACGGCAGATGAAATTCAAGGCTGCTAAATGAAAAACAATGCACAGGGGGAAAATCAGTGGGCTCTGAACTGGCTATTACTGCTCAGGAAGGAGATCTGAGAGTTGTGCTAGAAATATCTATCAAAATGACACTTCTGGTCCATAGTAGTCCAAAAAAAACCAAAACAGGGAGGTAGGAGAGACTGAAATGGGGAATGTTACTGTGCTGCTTAATGAATGCCTGGTATCTCCTGCCTGGAGTCATTTGTGAGTAGCTTAGTTTTCCCATCACACAAAAAAAGTGGATGGGAAGAAGCCTAGAAAATTATCCACAGAAGGCAAGGATTGACAAAGGCAGGGCCAGGCATGAAATCATTTGTATTGTAAAGCTGAAGAATTAATCAGCAATGAAGGCTTTGTTCAAGAAACATTTGGTATCGGGAGTATCACAGAATCCTGGAATGGTTTGGGTTGGAAGGGACCTTAAAGACCATTTAGTTCACCCCCCGCCATGGGCAGGGACACCTTCCGCTATCCCAGGTTGCTCCAAGCCCCGTCCAACCTGGCCTTGGACACTTCACTTGTTGAACTTCATGAAGTTCACACCTCTCTGTGTGACAGAGGGAAGATCTAAAGAAGTTCCAACCAGCAAAGGCAAACTCTTTACCCAGCAACCAGTTAAAAAGTAGGACTCGTTGCCATGGGAAATTTTAGGTACTGGAACCTTACACAAGCTCGGCAAGTGGTTAGATATTCTCACAGGAGAAAAGAAAAAAAAGGATGCTGTGCATGATGAGACGGTTGTTTCTCCCCATCCCATTGCAGAGCAGCTGCCTGGTGTGACAGGACAACAGGAATTTTGCCGGCAGCTCCCTCAGACCTGCCCTGTGTCCCCAGTGGTCCCATCCAGCTGGTGGCTTTGTCTCTCTGCCTTCTCCACCTCCATCCAGACCTGCTGAGCTGCTTTTGGAGAATTCTGAGTGGACTGACTCCCTGCCAGGCACCACCTCTGGAATAGCTTCATTTACCAAGCATGGAATTCGACTCCATTGTCATTTGTTCATTTGTTCTGTGAGTATTTAAAGCGCATGCTGAAGGCGTTCAGGCGTTTTCCCTGCCTGGCTGGGCAGGGATAGGTGGGATCTGGGTCTCCTGCTCTGCTGGGGAGCTGAGACTAGCAGTGCCCAGCCAGGCTTCAGCAGGTACAGTGTCCTCAGAGCTGGGAGGTGATCCTTCACCCTTCAGCAGAGCCCGGCTGCAGGAAATAATCTGCCCAATGGTCCACTTTATGGCCGGGCAGACAGGCTGAAATTCACGGCCACCACTTACCAAAGAATAATGAAACATTTCCTGAGACAGCAGTAAATATCTCCTGCCATGACAACACTTCCCAGCGCCTCTTCGATCCAGGGAAAAGGTTTAAAACTCAGCAAAGTGGGAGGCTTTTTTTTTTTTTTTAACATCTCTCCACTTGCTAGGTGCCCTGGCTGCTCCCAGTTGGGATGGAGTGGGGGCAGCATAGGATGGGGTTTGTGGCTCCCTGGGGAGCTCCAACTCTGAGCAGGTGCTCGGAGTAAGTTCCTTTTCCGGCTGGCTCCGCGTGCCATCCTTCCCGGCCCCGATGCTGATTAAAACAACATGAGCAAGGAGCCACGAGCAAGGAGTTTATCAGTTACAAGGGATCAATAACCCCTGGCGTGTATCCTTCAGTGTGACTAATGTGGGGCAGGGGGGCTCTGAATTGTCATCCCCAATCTGTAGCTCTGCCCATGTGAGCGTGCAGTGGGTCGGTGTGTGAGGGTCGTTTGTCACTGCCACCTCTCTGTCCCTGTCTGCATCCATCCCTGTAAGGCAGGGGGTGGCTGTGAGGAAAACTCCTTCTCCCCAGGCTGCTGGAAAGGGAGATATTTACAGCTGCTGTCCCCTACCAAGGGGTTTTGCTCTGGCCCAGAGCTGCTCTTTCCCACTGTGAGGAGATGCTGACACCACGGTTCATCCCAGGGTCCCCTGGAAATACACCGTGCTCTCAGCACAGCCGGCTCAGCTCCTTCCCCCCAGGACAGTTTTCCAGCAGGGGAGGTGCACAGTGTGGCTTCTTGGTGTTGGGCTGATGGAAAGAAAAGCCACCAGCTAGCAAAAAATGATGTCTGAGGGCCTCCAGGCTCAGGGGAGCCCAGCCAAATGTGGTTGAGTCCTCTTTAGGCAGCAGCAGGACTGACTGTAGTGGATATAAGCCAGTCTATGCTGGTTTCCCTCAGGGGATGGGCTCCCTCCACTCCACAAAAACAGAATTGCAATGGCCAGGAGGATGTTCCATGCTGGGAACTCATCCTGCCTCTCCCTGCTCTGAGGAAAACCAGCCTGGAGCAAAGCACTGTTGCCCCTTGCACAGGGTGAAACCAGGAGGAGATGGGGATGCAGCAGCACCAGGCTGGGCCAGGCTCAGCACAGGGCTGGGGAAGTTATACCATCTCTGAGCTGGATGAGAGCCTAGGGACAGCCATCCTGGGAAGAAATGCTCTTAGCAGCCCTGGCCACAGAGGGAAGAGGAGGTGTTTGATAGCAGAAGAAAAGCTGATAGTGGAAAAAGCGTGGGGAAGTGATAGATTTTTAAAAGCCAGCCAGTGAATCGCTGTCATTGCGGTGGTCACTTTAAAACGGATCAGCAGAAATAAAGTGGGTTTAGATGTACAGCGGCTTGGGGAAGCCTGAGCAGTAAAATGAAGCTGGCAGTGTGATGACTTGCTTGTGAGCTGGTTGGGATGCAGTCTGGGAGCATGCCTGGGCTGGGAATCACATCAGAGGGCTGCCTGCTCCGGGGTGTGTCGAGCGCTGTGCAGAGCCGCGCTATGCATCGATGCCCAGCAGAGCAGGAAACCTCCCAGCACAGCCTGCACTGGAACATTTCAGCCCCCCACATCTTCCTGCCTTCCTCAGAGACCACAACAGCTCTGGGCAGCACAAGGAGAGGGGTGGGAACATGCAGCAAGGAGCGATGGGGAAGAGGGAGATATCAGATGGCAGCAACCAGCAGAGAAGATTGACTTAATGGGATCAGCCCTCATTTTCTTCTTATGATCAGCACCTTGGGAGTGCAGCTTCTCTTAATTAATTCCTTTGGTCTCTAACACATGCAGCTGAGGCCTGTGTCCCATCAGTAGCTGTTTGGACTGGTGCCTGTGGGTCAGGGCAGGCAGGGAAACAGTGCAGTAAGTCAGTGCCAGGTACAGAATCTCAGAATGGTTTGGGTTGGAAGGGATCCTAAAGCTCATCTAATTCCTCCCCACTGCCATGGGCAGGGACACCTTCCACTAGACCAGGTTGCTACCTCTACAAACCTCTTCTCAAGTGGCTTGGCCCTCCTTTGGCAGAGAAAAGGGCTTCAGTGGGTTTTAATAACTCAGGAGGGAGGACTTTTCTTCCTGATGTTGTTAGAGGTTGGTTTGTTTTGTAGTATTACTTTGTTCAAGGTACAGGGGGGTGGCAATGGCTATTTCATAGAATCATAGAATGGTTTGGGTTGGAAAGAACCTTAAAGTTCATCTTGCTCCACCCCCTCCTATGAGCAGGGATACCTTCCACTAGACCAGGCTGCTCAGAAGAGCTCTTCTTAATCTTGCTTGGGAAAGACTGAGCTCTTCCACAGGACACTTGTGGAAGATTCCAAAATCAGCACCTATTTTGAATATGTTTGGTTGTGATGTAGAATTTTCTTGCTGGCTGCATCAGTGGGCTGAGACCCAGCCAAACCTGACTTTCCTTGCTGCGGTGCGGCCATGAATTGACTGGCTGGTGGGGAAAAGTGTTCCCCTCAGTCTCCCATCAATGGTTCACTGGGTTTTTAATGTGAAGCAGAAAGAAAGAAAGAAAAAAAGAAGGAAAGAGCTCAATTTATGCTCTTGGTATCACTCAGCGTTTTATATGCCTTTGGTTAAGTTGTGATTGCTATCAAGGCTATCGAAATCTCCAGAGGCTGGAAATCAAGGTGAAAGCTTGCTTTCATGGATTATTTCCAGTCACTTTTCTTCTGGCTCTGCTAAAAATAACGCAGGAATAGCTTTCTTCGAACTTTCCTGTTCCTTCCCGGCTGGAACAGAGAAGGTCAGGAGGATGAAAGTGAAAAAAGAGTTGGGGGGAAGGAGTCAAGGCAAACTCTTCTCTTGTATGGGTTTGGATGAGATTGCTTGCTGGTTTGTTTGGGTTTTTTTCCTTTCATCTAAACCTGATTAACTTTCCTTCTGCATTTCTTTCCTTTAGCTGATGCAATGGGGAAGGCTGAGTGTTTCAGTCCCACTGAAGCCAAAAACTTGCTGGTTTTAACCATTTCTTTTTGAAAATTCATTAGAAGCTTCCCCAAAACTAGATGCTGGCCTGACAATATTGCCCCCTGTGTTTTAGGATCCTTATTCAAGACCTCAGGATGATGCTGTGTTGTGTATCATGTCTGGATAGCTGACTTGCTTTCCCTTGAAATATGGATTTTCTTAATTACTGGGTTGGTGCCTAAATTTCCTGCACCTTTTTAGTCTGAAGTGTTTCATAGGCTCTAACAGGAGATAATTGTACCTCAGGAGACAGCCAAGGTGTTATCTCAGGATGGACATCCAGGGGAGGAGAACTCCTTGAGGCCACTCAGGAGTGGCAGAATAATAACTTCTCCTCAGAAAAAGGGAAAAATAAGCGTCCTGGTGTTAACCACAAGTGGGAACTCATTGCAACTGAGAAATCCTCATATGACAGGGATTTCAGCTCATTACAGGACTGCTTCAGTCAGCCACAAGTCATGGAACTGTGATGGCATTTTTCAAGCAAGGGGATAATGTGCTGTTGTTTCCTTCAGATGTTCATTAGTGGGGTAAATAACAGGGGGCCACCAGGTGTCCTCTCCTATCCATAAGCTCATATTTTAATATCCTATCTTAAAAAAGGATCTTCCTCCAGAAGTTCTGCTTCTGGGCTGTCCAAAAGACACCCAGAGAGCTGAGTCCCCACGCAGAGGAGGTGTTCCTGCCGTAGATTTGCAGCAGGTTGGCCCCTGTGGAGCCAAGAGAGCCCTGCTGGTCCCACAGGGAGGCTGTCACAGGGGCTTCCTTGGGTTGGTGACACCTGCAAGCCCCACTTGGCTGTGGCTTATTGATATTATTGCCCACCCACCCTGATGCCTCGACAAGCAGGGAGTTGGTGCCACGTGTTATCCCAACCTTTCCAAGAAGGGCTTTTCAGAAACACCTCCCAGGATGCAGGTGGTGGGAGGATAACCCTGGAAAACCAAAAGGGTTTCTCCAAGGCTTGCAATGCAAACCCTAACTCAGGCCATGACTTGCTGAACAAGACATTACAGGCTTTTTTCCAGCTTTCCAAGTGGGGCAAAGCCAGAGTTTCCCCTCCTCCGGGAGCAAGTTCCAGGCCCTGCTTAGGTTTTGAAGCAGCATCTGCAGATGTGTAAGAGAAGAGGGGCATTGAGGGTGTTAGAGATGGTCCAGGGGGGACTAGAGGAGTGCAGCAGCTAAATCCTGAGGCAGCAGTAATCCCCTCAGCTGTGGTGCCCTGGGAGGCACCGGGACATAGCCCAGCACAGTGGGAGAGCATCCCAAGACTGCTGGGAGTACCAGGAGGGATCCCAGGGACCAGCAGCCATCTGAGGGATGGGTGGAGGCAATGCCAGGTGCCAGGCACAGCTGAAGGGACAACAGCCAGTTGGGCAAGTTCTGGGGCTCTTTCAGCCACCGGCTTCTCTGTCACTTTGGGACTTCAATAATAATGTATTTATTGAAATTCGCTGTGCCAAAGCCACATGCTGGAAGCAGCAGATACATGGCAGCTCAGGTAGAGTTTGAAAAAGACTTTAAAAAAGCAAGATGGGGCTTTGCCAAAAGCATTTTGGCAAAATTTCTGTTGAAAGGAGGAAATATATATTTACATGTATAGATATAATCAGCTCTGCCAAAAGTGTGGTCCCCCTAGCTTTTTAAAGAGAAGGAGAAGACCCACAGCACAGCTGGCAGGTAACAGAAGACAAATACAATGCTGTATTTTTGGGGGGTTAAGCATTGCCACCGTGAAGAGTTAAA